GAGAAACCAGTAGATTCATGCTTCGTACAATTACACGCGTGTATTAGTTTGTTCACATGATCCTTCCAATTAGACTTGTACACTTCGGGTAACGTTCGCAACATGTGTAGCAAAGTCCTGTTCATCCGCTTCATCTGGCCATTTCCCTGTGGATGATAGGGTGTCGTTCTTGAATGTGCGATTCCCGAGAGCTGCTCTAGTCTACGAAACAGTTTATTTTCAAACTCCTCCCCCTGGTCGTGATGTATTCTAGACGGAAACCCGAAGCGCGGAATGAAATCATTGTAAATTTTATCGGCTGCCGTGGCCGCGGTCTTGTTCCGTGTTGGATACGCTTGTGTATATCTGGTAAAGTGGTCGACTATGACCAAGATATACTCGAACCCTCCCGAAATTCGCTCTAAATGGACAAAATCAATTTATACCAGTTCGAATGCTGCGGACATAGAAATGAAGTGAAGTGGTTCTCTGTTGGTAAAGGCGGGTTTTCTCTGTTTAACACAACTACAGACGTGCGTGATAAAATGTTCAATATCGTTCTTCATTCCAGGCCAATAGAACCGTTCCCTCGCGAGGTTGAAAACGCGTTCTGGACCAAGATAACCCATTTTCTCGTGTAGTTCTCGAAATACTAAGGATCTATACTTCGTTGGTAGTACAAGTTGCTGGCCTCGATACAAAATACCGGTCTTCCTGTCGATCATGAGATTATGCCACTCTCGGTGGTATTTTTTTAGTTCAGGGATTTTTTGTTGCCTTTCTTCGAGAGTTGGTTTCTTTCGCGCCCGTACATATTACTGAACACGACTTGTCGTTGGGTCTCTCGCTGCGCTCTAGCGATCTGTGTCTGTTTGAACTGGATGGTGTTTTCTCGCTCTGGCAAGAATAGCTTGTCTGTCTCGAGGGCCTCCGGCAGATCCGTGACTGATGTAATCCAGGGGGATTCACCATTGCTGACGGAAGAAATCTGAGAAACTGCTGCGTTGAACTCCGGATTTGAGACCGTTTCAGAACAAGAGTCCATGAATCTTTCGAAGTCCGCGGGGATTCTGGACAGGCGTCCGCGTCGGTGTTTACTTTTCCCGGTCTATATTTGATCCCATATTTAAAGTCTGCAAATTCCCCAACACAACGCAAACCGGTCGCATTAAGTTTCGCTGTCGAGAGAATATAAGTCAGTGGGTTATTATCAGTATAGACTATGAAGGATGGTGCATAATATAAATAATCCCTGAATTGTTCGCTGACAGCCCACTTTAGAGCAAGAAAATCTAGCTTCCCCGCATGTAAATGGTTGTTCTTCTCAGCTTGCGTTAATGTGCCTGATGCATATGCGATGACTCGGAGCGTTCCGCCTTGACGCTGATATAACACGGCTCCCAGCCCGTTCTGGGAAGCATCTGTATGAACAACGTATTGTGAACTGTAATCAGGGTACGCTAGAATCGGGGGTGAGGTGACGCAATCAATCAATGTATTTAATGCCGTCTGGTGTTTTATAGACCACTGAATAGGGTGATTCGAGGGCAGTTGACCATTCTTCCTGGAGTTCTGATTAGTGTTCATTTCCCCTTCCAACAGTTCATAGATGGGTTTAGCAATCTTCGAAAAATCTTTGATGTGACGTCGGCATACTCCTAACAATCCAATTACTCTTCGAACCTCTCCGACAGTCCGCGGTATTTTGCTCTTCATCAGGATAACAGCTTCGGTTGCTTTTGGATCAATGTTATAACCCTTTTCTGATACTATTCTCCCAAGAAACGATACTTGACGCTTCAATAACCTGCATTTCCCTGGCTTCAGTTTAACACCATGTTCTTGCAGTTTCTGCAGAACTAGACGTACGTGTTCAACATGCTCTTCGAATGATTTGGAAAATATAATAATATCGTCGAGATAGGGAATGCATGTCTGGTCACGTAAATCCCCTAAGCATCCATTCATGAATCGTTGGAAACTTGCTGGCGCGTTAGTTAGTCCGAATGGGACGCTTACCCACTCGTAAAGCCCCCAAGGCGTCGCAAATGCTGTGAATGGTTGACTATCTCTGCTGACAAAAGGCCTGCTCTGGGACCTTAACTCGCCGCGAGATAAGGCGAGCCTATGCGAGTTAAGGCGAGATAGGGCGAGTTAAGGAAAAATCTGGCTACTGAC